ATTAATTTTTATATCCTTCTTTTTTGTGAGAAAAATTTGTTTTTCATCTATTAAAACTTTTCCATAAGAATAAGAATAAAAATTTTTTCTATGACGAAGGAAAATTATAAAAAAAAAAAAAAAAAAAATTGAAAATGAAAAAAATTATTTAAAGCCTTTACCCTATTTTAACTTTACAACAAATGTTTAAATGTCTAAAATTTTCCGCAAAATTTTGTTTTTTTTTTATTTTTTTTTTTTTTAATTTGACGGGACGTGTAAACCGGAAATGATAATTTTAATGTTACCGTAATATAATAATAATAATAATTAAACGATCAAAATTTTATTTTATTTTTTTTTTATTTTAATTCGAAATTTTTTCGAGTCGTGCAATTTATAAAAAATATTGTCAATTTATCATTATCATCATCATCATCATCATCATCATCATCATCATCCTCATCATCATCATCATCGTCATTATTATTATTATCAATTAAATTTTTTTTTTTTTTACCGATTGAAATATTCAAATTAATTAATTGGGGGAATATATTATACTGTAAATTTATGTATTGTAAAAATAATTTTTCCATAATAAATTTGTTAAGTGTAATTAAAATATTAATAATAATAATAATAATAATAATAATAATAATAATAATAATAATAATAATAATATCGTTGCATGTTTGTAAATTTAAGAATCGATCCCCAAAACAAAATGAAAAAAAAAAAAATAAGGAAAATTTTTTTTTTTTTTTTAAATACAATGTTTTGCTCAAAATATAAAAAAAAAATTTTTTTAATAAAAATTTTCCTGATATTATAAACCTGATTTTTCGTTTTAAAATTTTTAGGTTTTTAAAATTTTAAGGTTTTTTTTTTTTTGTGGCAGTCATTTTATTATATGTTTACCCGTCGGTTAATTTTAATTTAAAAGTTAAAAAATAATTTTTTTTTTTTTAAAACAAAATGATAACAGTGATAAAAAAAATTTGTGATAAGGTACTTATCCAACGTCAAATTTATTTAATAATATATATTTATAATAATATTTAATCGATCGATCGTTATTAAAAATAATTATTAAAACTTTTTCCCCCGTTATCAATTTTCCCTCCTGGAATTTAATTTTCCTTTTCAATCCCCTTTAACCCCCCCTAATTTAAATATTCAAAACCCCATGGAAAAGGTTTTAAAAAAATAAATAAATAAAAAAAAATATTTTTTTGTAATTTTAATTTAATTTTCAACTTTTTTTTGTTTATAATATATAAATTGAAAAGAGGGGGGGGGGGGAAAAAAAAAATATATATATATATATATATTTATTTATTTATTTAAAATTTACAATATTGCCCTTTTTTTTTTTTTTTCAAATTAATTAAATTTTCGTTCGACATTTTTTTTTTTTTTTTTTTTTTTTTTCCATGATATTATTTGTCCATAATTTTCAAAAAAAAAACTACCTGCACACATTTTTTTTTTTTTTTTTAATTTTTTTTTTACTTATTATTATTATTATTAATAATTTGTTAATTAATTTATTTAATAACCAGCACTAATAATAATCATTTTTTAAATAATAATAATAATAATAATAATAATAATAATAATAATATACACAAGAAGAAGAAAAACATAAAAATTAAAAAAAATAAAAAATAATAAAAATCAATTTTTTTCTTTTTTTCTTTTTTTTTTTTAGGCGCGAAAAAATCAATTTTATTATTATTATTATTTAATGTAATCGTTTATTACCTATATATAACTAAACAAGAAAAAAAATTAATTATTATTATTATTATCGTTATTACACAAACACGCTGACAACACAATTTTATTTATTTAAATTCTAATTTATTATATTATATATATATACAAAATTTTGTGCCATTATGCTATATAGTTTATTTATTTATTTATTTATTAATATAAATTCTCCTGTTTTTCGTATATTTATATATATATTATTCATAAAAAAAATAATGTAATTTCTACAGTGACGTCATACACACACGTGCGTGTACACGTTTAAGATTTTTTTTTTTTTTTTTTTTTAAAAATTACAATCAATCAATCAATCAATCGTAATTTTTTTATTTTTTTTTTTTTAAGTTAATTATATAACCTCGTATCTACACAAAATAATAATAATAATAATAAAAACTAAATACTTATTTTCAATAATAATAATAATAATAAAAAACAAAACAAGTCATTTAATCATATTTTTTTTATACTTAAAATCATAATAATAATAATTATAATAAAAACAAAATTTCATTCATTGGTAGTTAAAATAATATGAGAAGCAATATTAATAATATATATATACCTATAAGCAAAACATAAAAAAAAAAGATCTTTAAACAAATAATAATAATAATGATAATAATGGAGAGTGCTTTAAATTTTAATTAAGCACATTGGTAGCAATTTTCGAGATATTAATAATAATAATAATGATATTTTGCCCCCTTAAAAAAAAAAAATTTTTTTAATAATATACATACATGTTTAAATTTTTTTTTTTTTTTTTTTGGTGTTTTTAGTATATATTATCAATCAATAAAATAATATTATAGATAGATATATAGTAGATAGATAGATGGTTAAGCGCTTTTTTTTTTTGTTTACAATTTTTTTTTTTGTTTCTATTTTTTTTTTTTTTTTTAAATCCCCACACAATTAATTAAATAAATCAAACAATTTAAATTTCCTTAGAGGTAGTAGGTGGTGGTGGTGCGTAATTTAACAAACTCATGATGATGATAATAATAATAATAATAATAATAACTTTACAAAAAAAAAATAATGATGATAATATTAAAACTCAATCAATTAAATTTTTTTTTCTTTTTTTTTTTTTTTGTAATTAGGCGAAAAAAATCAAACGCTACAAAATAATAATAAAACAATGAAAACAATTAAACGTAATAATAATAATAATAATAATAATAATAATAATAATAATAATAATAATAATAATAATAATTAAAAAAAAAAATTAAACCATTGCGACTTTTTTTTATTAATAATAATAATTAATTAATTATTGCAACATTAAAGGCTATTTTAATTTTTTTCTCTTTTAATTTATTAAAATGCATTTTTTTTTTAAATTTAAATTTAAATTTAAATTTTATTTTTAAATAATAATAATAATAATAATAATAACACTAAAAATAATTTTTTATGTGTTATAACGTCAAACAATATAAATATATATATATATATATGTTTTAATTTTTTTTTGTTTTTTTCCGATTACATTTAAATAAATTAAATAATAATAATAATTATTATTAATTAATATAAATAAATGAAAAAAAAAAAAAAAAATACACACAAACACACACACGCGATTAACAACATTTTTTATTTATTTTAATAATTTTTTTTTTAAATTAATAAAAAATGATACAATGTATGTATGAATGTGTATATAAATAAATAAATTCTTATGTATTATTATTATTATTATTAATGAATCGGGTATATAAAAAATAAATAATTTCACAAATGTAAACCAAATTATGTAATAATAATAATAATAATTATTAGTTGTATTAAATATACATATAATTTATATATAAATAAAACAACAGTCACAATATTATTAGTTAGTTTATGAACAAATTTTTCATTTGAAAAAGAAAAGTTAAAATTAAAACAATAAGAGATTCATTTTTATTATTATTATTATTATTATTATTATTAATTAAACAAAACTATTTTTAAAAAAAACCGCGAATTATTAACTACTACTTATATGAGTGTCCACAATTATTTTTTTTTTTTTACATACATATATATATATTTATACATAAATACCAAAAGCCATATGCATTTTAATATTTAAAAGAAAACAAAATTATTTTATGCCATTTAAAAAATTATTATTATTATTATTATTATTATTATTAAAAGTCGCATTTTACAACGACTTAATTTATTAATACATAAAAAAAAAAAAAAAATAAACTAACAAAAAAAAAATTTACCAACTTATTAATCATCTAATGCCAACAACAATTTAACCGTACAAAATTTTTATTCGTTTTTTTTTTTCCCTCCTCCCTCCCTAATCCAATCGCCATATTGAATGAAAAAATTTAAATTAATAATTTAATTAATTAATTAATATATATATAAAAAAAAAAAAAACCCAAAAACTAAAGTCATTTTTATCGGGTGTCGTTTGCAATCAAAAAAACTTAAAAGTCGTTTAAAAAAAAATGAAAAGTCAGTCTTCATTCATTATTTTTATTTATTTATTTATTATTTATTTATTTATTATTTATTTATTTATTTATTTATTTATTTATTAAAGATGATATTATCACGAATAAAAATGACTTGACCCCCAACGAAAAATGAAAATTCTTTGCCAGCAATAGAAAACAGTAACAAAATGAAGCAAAAAAAAAAAAAAAAAACCGAAAATGAATTTAACAAAGTTTTCTTTCCTTAAAGTTATTATTATTATTATTATTATCATCAACGAATCTACTCTCATCTTTACATTTTTTACACAGAAAAAAAAAGAAAAAAAATATTTATATTTATATATAAATTTATATATTAATTAAAATTTTTTAAAATAATGTTTGGCTTCCGCAACTCTTCTTCATTTAAAAAAACAAAAAAAAAAAAACAAAATGGATACCGTCCCTTTAATAACTTAAATCAAAAACTTAATTTTTAACTTAAAAAAAAAAAATTACACAAAATAATAATAATAAAAAAAAAAAAAAAAAAACTAATCATTCAATTATTATTATTATTATTATTATTATTTCTTTATTGTAACTGACCTAATAATTATCATCATCATCATCATCATAATGTAGGCCAATTCAAATATTTTTTTTGGGCTAATAATGTTTTTGTAATAAAATGAAAACAATTATTATTATTATTATTATTATTATTTGCTATTAAATTTTTTTTTTTTAGAAAAACAACAAAACAACTAAATTTATTAATAATAATAATAATAATAATAATAATTAAACTTCTTACAAAAAAAAATAAAAATAAAAATAGAAAAAAAAAAGTCAAATTAACGAAAACGTCGTGTATTAATTCCATTCCTTTCCTTTTTTTTTTTTTTTTTTTAAAGGCTTTTAATATACAATCGTTAGAAAAATGTGCACTGTATTATAATTAATAATAATAATAATAATAATAATAATGATAATAGTAAATGATAATGATAATTAATAATTGGTAACTGCAAAAATATTTTAGTTTTTTTTTGTTTAAATTATTATTAATTAAAATATTCAATAATTGAAATGACAAAACAACAAATTGAAAAATAAAAAAGTAATAATAAAGGTTTGTTTCTTTTATAGGTACCTTATGCTAAATAGTTTTTTAGTTTTTAGTTTTAGTTTTTAATAATAATAATAATAATGTGTTTATGTTTTTTAACGGTTCATAAAAAAAATTATTAATTATGTTTTACATTAGGAAAAGTTGCGAAACTGTCTAATCTAATTACGCCGCCGCAATCCCATAAGCAGAAAAGAAAAAAAGAAAATAATAATAATAATAATAATAATGCGAGAGAGAGAGAGAGAGAAAAAAAAAATTAATAAAAAAATATTTTGCTTCACTTAGAACTGAACACTTTTCCAACGTCTAAATATTTGTTTGTTTTTTTTTTTTTTTTTTTTTCTCTTTCTTTCTTTCTTTCCTTTTTTCTTTCTAATACTTAATAATAATAATAATAATAATAATAATAATAATAATAATATTAATAATAAAAATAAAAGATAAATCTACGTAATGTAGAATAAATGTATTCATCAAAATAAAAACCAAGAGAGGAAATTCAAATTGATGTAGTAATGATGATGGTGGTGGTGG